TAGTTTAAAAATCTAGGTTCACAAAATTCTTGAGGAAAAAGAGCCATGTCAGGTCCACCTGTTCAAATTAAAGCTTCATTATTGTGTCTCACACTGTCGTGCATGACAATAGGAATGCTTTGAACTCGCCATCCAGTCATTGTGGGGCTTATCGTGGCATCCGCATGCTGCGATTTCATTCATTTCTGTCTTTATTCTCCTCTTTTGATTACAACTAATGGCAACAGACATGAAAGTGTTGAGTTCTTTGGGTTTAGGTTATAGTTATCGCTTGAACCCATTCACACATTTTTCATCATTTGCTGTGATTAGCTGTGATGCTGAATTCACAAAGAGCTTTAAATAGCTGCTTTACACTATCCTCATAATGGCATACAATGTTGTAAACATTCAGGCAGAAAATATTATGCTAATTGTTGTAATGGTAGCCAAAAGAATAATGTAATAGTTTTTTCTTTGGTTATTAAGGGTTTATTTGAGCATATGACTTTTATATTCACCTAGCTGTCCTGATGGCTATCACTTAAAATATATAAAAATAGAAAACAGTTATTTTAAATGATAATAAAATGTCACAATTTCCGTGTTTTATATTTTTGATCAAATAAATACAGTCTTGGTGAGCATAAGTTTCAAAGACATTAAAAAAATCGTACCAACCCCAAACATTTGAATGTCAGTGTAAATTTCAAGACATAAGTTAAAACTATCTGAGAACTGGATTAAGGGTTTTGGAAACCCCTGTAATACGTATACGTATCTTGATTTCACCACGGCTCATTTAGACTCTCTAGACCTTCTCATTTTAAGCTTGCATATACCTGTCCTATCTAAAAAGGCCTAACAGATGTAATTGGCCATGACTTTACAGAAGATCCTTGCACATGTCTTTTCAGACCCCATTTTACTCCCCTATTTCTCCCCCTTTACCCTCTTTTCAAAAGAATGGTTACTGGGGAAGCGATTGAATAGTTCAGGAATCTGCCACCTCCTGGGGTTTCGCCCCTCCCTAGCAATGGACACACTTCCAGCATTTGTTTTCCTGAACAACACAGATGGAAGACATGGAGACAGTTGGGCTGCTCTGGGTGAGGGTTATCGCAGGTAGTTGTTAGATAGGTGTGAATGGCTACACTTTTCCATACACAACAGGTAGGACTTTAGGTGTATGGAGGAGGCCAGTGTCTAGCAACATGAGAGATGTCCCCAAATTTACAAACTTGACCCCACTTAGGTATTTCCATCAAAAAAAGGGATCTGAAAAACTTTCAATTTGACCAGACTTTGAATTTCAGCGGATCCATCTCCGCATTTGAGGTTTTTTGTTTCAATTGTGACTCATCACATTCATCAGATAATGTAAAAATGTACTTATTTCTGTAAGATTCATATAATCAAGGAACTACTTTATCATTCAAAAGTTTCAGGTCTGTAAAATTGTTAATGGTTTTTTAGAGAAGTCTTTTTTTTTGCTTACCAAGGTTTTATTTGATTAGAAAATAAAGAAAAAGAAAAATACAGTAAAAACTGTAATTTTGTGTAATATTATTTATATTTTAAACAGCTGCTTTCTATTTTAATATAATTTAAAATGTAATTTATTCATATGATGACAGTTGAATTTTCAGCATCATTACTCCAGTCTTCAGTGTCACATGATCCTTCAGAATTGCTGCTCAAGAAACATTTCTTATTATGAATGTTGAAAACTGTTTCTTTGAAGAACAGAAAGTTTAATTGAACACCATTTACTTAAAATTAAAATCATTTATAACAATGTCAATATGTCATGTTTTATTGTCACTTTTGATCAGTTTAATGGGTCCTTTTGCTAAAGAAAAGTATTAATTTCTTTAAAAAAAAACCTTTAAACTATTGAATGATAGTGTAATGCCACATATTTAAGGAAGGAAGGGGAGTCTTTTACAAGACTGTCCAATTTTTCTGGATTTGTGTGGCCTACTTCAACCCCTGTTTTAGATTCCAGACCATTTAGGCAACTAGACTCCATGTACATTGTTTGTGGGATCACACAATGAATCAGTCGACGTTTCTTTCCACGCCCAGGTGAACCGTTCTAGCTGGCCTGCTCAGACATGCACTTGAACTTTGAAAGAGGAATGAAATTTAAGGAGAGCACACGAGTATGTAGTTAACACTCACAAGGGCTCCACACCTGAATGAACAGCGCTGAATTTCAGCAAGTGCGCGCATGTACAGGAGAAATAAAAGTTTGAGGTTTTGTAAGAATGCGAAGTAAATGTAAACTAATGGAAAATGGGGTGTGTTTCCAAAAACAATAATCCTGAAATGTGGAGGCAGGTCTTCTTAAATCAAAAGTCTGGTCAGCTTGCTGAAAACCGATAACTACAGCCATTGTATAGTGGTTTTGTAAAGCATTGCTTAACACACACACACACTAAAGTGGTATGTTTGTCCTCAGGTTTCAAGCTGAAGGACTTCCTGCATGAAAATGAAACCCTTTCCACGTTCCTCCAACAAAACGCCTCCTTTTCCCATAATTATGTACAGAATGTGCTGGAAGCTGATGTGAATCTTGAAAAGGTGAGAATGGAAAAGCATTATTTTAAAGCATAAATGGTGACCATGACTATTGTCGTTTTCCATTGTCCCACTTCTTCCATGCCCAAGTGGGAAAAAAAGACAAACTTCACACTTGCAGTACTGTAATTAATTGTATAGAGTTTGTAAGGCATGGGCATTGTTTCTAGATTGGTTTTAATAGTTTATCCCACACATGCTGTTAAATTGCTCCTAGGAATCAGTTAAAGAGAGGAAACCAGCATGCAACATGCCCTCAGGGCATTACACAATCTACAGTCCTCATAAATGACAATAAGCAGCCTAGTTTTACCCTAATGTACCCTCTTGATGTGTATTTAAGGCATCTAGGCTAAGTGCCTTATAATGTCCCTGCCCTGATAACAAACTCATGGGACATATGAACAGCTCTGTCCCCTTCTATCTCAAAAACCCCTCACGGATCACATGAACACCTTTTATCTGCTGTCACATCTACCGCTTATCACGATGCTCCTCATGTTTTAGGTGCTGATCAAAGGTTTTGGCGTCCATCTGAGAGACATGTGCAGCACCACCACACTTGAGGATTTTGTGAGCATCCCAGACAAAAGGGTGGCGAGATTCACCCAGGACCTCATCTGCAGCTCTCCCAATAGCTGGCTAGACCAGGCAGAGAGACACTTCAAGTCCAACTTGGATTTCCTCAAACCTATTAGGGTAAGAAAAATGGTACAGTGAATCAAAATTAACATATCTGATACACATGCTTTCAAAGAATCCAACAAACAAAACAAATTTGGTATTACCATAAAAATATTTAATAATAAATATTCAATTCTGTGAAGTCACTTAAATTATCATATATTAAATGTATCATAATCGAATAAAAACTATAAAGAATTTGTCCATGCCATTAATTCTACCCGAAATATCAAAAGAAAAAGAATAAAACAGAAAATAATAGTATTACAATTTCATTTTTTTTTATTTGGGTGGAATTTATTATTATTATTATTATTATTATTATTAGTGGTCGACCGATATATCGCCACAGCCGATATATCGGCCAATATTTGGCATTTTTAAAATATTGTATCGGCCGATAAGTTTTCCTGTTTGGCCGATGCGTTCATGGCAACCCTCACCAAGATATCGGCATTGGCTGTCAAAAAAAACAATATCAGTTGACCACTAATTATTATTATTATTATTATTATTTTCATATTTATTTCAACATTACATTCCTGTTTCTATATTTTTAAATGGTAATTTTTAAGGTTAAAACAATAATATTATTAACTTGTAAATGTCTACAGTAATGGCCAGTCTAGAGTTCTGGATGAGTCCAGATGCTGTGGCTTTGTTGTCCGGAAAGGGTGTAAATTAAACTGTTGCTTAATAAATTTCCCCCGCTGTGTGTCTGAGGGTGACAGAGATCATCATCTTATCTCCTAAAGCAGTGCAATAGTGTCCTCCCCTCCTCCAGTACTGTTGCTGAGGTGTTAAAAACAGAACCAGGTGACCTTATCATTGGCATGCACTGAGCTGAGACACAAACAACTCAACAACCAGCTAAAACAGAGAAAGGAAAAAGAAAGAGTGAGCTAGCTGGTTATGAAGAGCGTGAGAGGATGCATGTTATTGCATGTTGCTCTACACACCTACCTTAATATATAGCCTGAAGGCACAGATGGAAGTTACAACACATTTGAACAGCTTCAGTTCCTCTCTTCTACTTCTTCCTATGCACACTGAAAAGAAATATGTCATATTTAATAATACTCATAGATCACACTGGTCAATAAAAGATGATTTTGACTCATCATTGGGATTCTTGGGAAGTGAAGTGCAGTGGAAAACCAGATAAATATGTCATCTTAGTTTGATTTTGCTTGCCAATGGCACATAAAATGCATGGAATGAATGGTTCTTTGATCACTTATGGACATCGGAATTCTACGAGATTTAGGAGGAATGTGGGAAGAAGCCAGACCGAAGGTTTGGAATTTCATGGAGAACAGTGAAGAAATGGATCTGTTGCGGGTATGATACGCCTTCCTCTCATTACTGCTCCCATGTGGCTGAAAGTTGCAGTGCAAAACTGAAACTAGTCAACATTACCAATGTTGAAGCTAATTTTAATTTCCATTTCTTTGTTCTTCCAAACTCAGACGCTTCTTCGAAACAATGCCACTGCTAGTTTTTTCAGTGCCCAGTTGGCTGGGACTCAGTGGAGCGTGGAGGATGTTATAAGCTTCTTGTCTAAGCACTCCGAGGACACCATTCCACAGCATTGCAAATAAACCTAATCGAATAACAGATGACAAATTATGAAGGGAATGTTTTTAAATAGAAAAAAAACAAACACTGTATGCTTATCCAGATTGCTTTATGCTAGTCTTTCAGTATGTTCTGTAACAGTAATTAAAAATTCCCCTCTTTTCCTGTAGTTTCCTTCGCATTATGAGCCGTTCCATGCCACTTTTCATGACTCTGGCCTGGATGTACTCGGTGGCCATCATCATCAAAGGCGTCGTCTATGAGAAGGAGGCCCGGCTCAAGGAGACCATGAGGATTATGGGATTGGACAATGGAATCCTGTGGTTCAGCTGGTTCATTAGCAGCCTCATCCCTCTTCTCATCAGCGCAGGCCTGCTGGTTCTTCTACTCAAGGTACTAAAAAGACATCAGCAGATCTTAAGACAGGTTGTTTTCTAGGGAGCACACTTTTTCCATTACAAAAAACATTCAGTAATCAGTTACAATTATTACAAATTATTTATACTGTATTGCAATTTTGACTTTTTTTCCTGTTTTAGGATTTTTTATGTTAGGAGTGCTAAGTGACTTTATGGCCATTTTTCTTCCATCATCCCTTAGTGTTTTTTGATCTGAATGTTTTTTTTTTTTATTATTGTACTACTTATTATTATTATTGTTAATATTATGATAAGTAGTAGTAGTAAAACTATTACAAAAAAAACGGATAAAAAATGTTGCCTTGGCAACTAACTGATATAAAATAAGTTGACGTACCAAAATTACTAAAACTGAAATAAAAAATACATTAAAGCTAAATTGAAATATGAAAATAAATAAAATATGAAAATAATAACATATGACAAATGACAAAAGCACATAAAATGATTACAAACTAAAATTAAAATTAAAAAGCATTAATTCAGAATATTAATAAATAAAATAATATTCAATTAATTAATAATACTAATGTACAGTAACACTAATTATTTGTATTATTATTAATGTTATTTTAGTCTATTTGAGATACTATTATAGTTTTTAATAACATTTTGAATATTTTATTAATATTTACATTTTCATTTTTAAGTTTCAGTAATTTTGTTGTTTTTGCAGTTTTAGTTTTACATATATATATATATAATATATATATATATATATATATATATATTTGTGTGTGTGTAAAACAACTACTAAAACTACTTTTTATTAATTGTTATTTCTGTTAGTTTTAGTTGTGTATATATAAAATATACCCTGTAGTAACCCTGATTATTATTATTAATTGTAATAATGAATATTATTCATTATGTGGCATTCTTTAAGAAATTGTCATTAATAGAAGCAAAACAGAGATAATAACCCTGATTTTTTTTACCTTTCCAGATGGGTAATCTCCTGCCCTATAGTGACCCTGGTGTAGTCTTCCTCTTCCTCGGGTCATTCGCCGTGGTAACCATCATGCAGTGTTTTCTGATCAGTACGGCGTTCGCACGTGCCAACCTGGCAGCGGCTTGCGGGGGCATCATCTACTTCACCCTCTACCTGCCTTATGTGCTCTGTGTGGCTTGGCAAGACTACGTGGGCTTCACTGCCAAAGTCATCGCTGTAAGTTTATGACCATCTGCAAAAAATGTGTTAAAAAATATCAGTTACACAGTGCAAATGTGTTTGTGTTTGTGTGCAGCGTCATCGGTTGTTGGCCAAATGCATTAGGTTGTCGTACAGTATATTGCATAAGGAAACTAATTTATACTGCTCTCCTTATCTAAAATGACCTACGGGTGCGATGAGAATATCTTAACTGTAAAATCACACTTTAAACCCATTGTAGGGTTTGGTTCCTGACACTAGATTACAAGGAATCTTCACTGGGGTGTTCCTGTTTAAACTAGTTAAATGCTGGTGAGATTACTTTGACCAAGGCACTTAACCCTAGGGTCTTTCAAGGTGGATTGATCCTGCGCAGTTACCTAGTTACATGTCATTAAAGTGACTTAAAGTAGAATTATCGCATGAACTTCAGGTCCTGCTGGAACAACCTGAGATTAAGTGTCCAGCTCAAGGGCACAAAGGTAATAGGGAATCTCGGTCAGTGCATTTATATTCACATTTGAAAGCAATTTGAACTATTTGAGGTACACTAAAACAATATATATATATATATATATTTTTTTTTTAAGGTCATATAAATGATTTCATCTGACTGAAATCATACCAGTCTAATTTTTTACTCTTTTTTTTAACTCAATGCTTTTTTATCTTGTTTTCCAGTAAAAATATCTAAACATCCATTATTGACAATTTACTTTAGAACTAAAATCATGTAAGATATTAAATCTGTTTTCTGAGAAATGTATCAAAATTGATTCTTCAACTGAGTAAAAAAAAATAATTTTGCCTTTTGAATTAAGTCCCCCTCAAATGACTTATTTTGGATCAAGAAACCTTGACTAACATTATACGTGTACTACAGGGTGGACAAAACAACACAATTTACATCTAATTTGGTTGTGTCCACAGAGCTTCCTGTCTCCAGTGGCATTTGGATTTGGCTGTGAATATTTTGCCCTGTTTGAGGAGCAAGGTGTGGGCATCCAATGGAATAACCTCTTCTCTAGCCCCATGGAAGAAGACAACTACAACCTCACCACCTGCCTCATCCTCATGTACTTTGATGCCTTCCTGTATGGGGTCATGACCTGGTACATTGAGGCCGTGTTCCCAGGGCAGTATGGCATTCCCAGGCCATGGTACTTCCCTTTCACTAAATCCTACTGGTTTGGAGAGAGCAACACAAACAGTACTGCAGTTCATGGAAAGAAGGGAAATGCTGGGGGTAAGAAAAGTTTTTTATAAGGGATACACCTGATGATTATTTTCATGTTAAAAACTATACTATTTTGGAGAGGCGGTTCATATTAAGAAGCCACTGGCACTGGCCAGTGGACTGTTTTGAGTTTTGAATTTGATCATTAGATATAATCTTAAAAAACAATTGATTAATTGTGTTTGTGTTGTTTTTTAAAGCTGTCTGCATTGAAGAGGAACCCACTCACCTTGAATTGGGAGTTTACATTAAGAATCTTGTGAAGGTCTACCGTCATGGCAAAAAGCTAGCAGTCGATGGGTTGACACTTGGCTTCTATGAGGGGCAAATAACTTCTTTCCTAGGTCACAATGGAGCTGGAAAAACCACCACCATGTAAGTTCATATTTCACTTTCTATTCATAAAATAAATAAAATGTAATAAAAATTAATAAAATTTATAACTGTTTCAAATCAGCATATTAGAATGATTTCTGAAGGATCACATGGATTGGAGTAATGGCTGCTTGGACTTTGTTTGTTTTTTTCTTTCTTTCTTTTTGGTTACAATATCTAACCCTCCAATTTGCCTTCAATGTTTTAGGTCTATCCTAACTGGCCTTTTCCCTCCCACCTCTGGCACTGCATATATAATGGGCAAAGATATTCGCTCAGAGCTCAGTTCGATCAGACAGAGCCTCGGAGTGTGTCCACAACACAACGTCCTCTTCAGCATGTAAGTGCTTTAATAAGACCCTGCAAGAAAAATGATGCGAAAACAAGTCACATATTAGTTGATGTTAAGGTTGTATAAATCAGTTCTGTGGATGCTAATCCACCTTTTGCTTGGCCTGGTGTATTTCAGGTTGACAGTAGAAGAGCACATCTGGTTCTACGCCCGTCTGAAGGGTCTGTCTGAGGAGGAAGTGAAGGCTGAGACGGAGCAGATTCTGACTGATACCGGCCTTCCACACAAACGCAAATCCAGGACCAGCCAACTGTCCGGTGTGTGGCATTATGACCTCTGAAATTTTGATTTGTTAGTTGTTTGATTTGCTGCAAACTTACACTTTTGTGCTCCTTAGGTGGTATGCAGAGGAAACTCTCGGTAGCCCTTGCTTTTGTTGGAGGGTCAAAGGTTGTTATTCTGGACGAGCCCACTGCTGGTGTGGACCCATACGCTCGAAGAGGCATCTGGGACCTTCTTCTGAAGTATCGTGCAGGTAACTACCCCATTCGTTTTGTATTTAAAAACAAAGAAAATGCCATCAGATCTTATTTAGGACTTTTGGTATTTTTTAGGTCGGACTATCATTCTTTCCACCCATCATATGGATGAAGCGGATATTCTGGGCGATCGTATTGCTATCATCTCCCATGGAAAGCTTTGTTGTGTGGGCTCGTCGCTCTTTCTTAAGACTCAACTGGGAACTGGATACTATCTTACCTTGGTGAAGAAAAACACTGAGCCTTCTCTCAGTTCTTGCAGGAACTCGAGCAGCACTGTGTCCTTTGTTAAGAAAGTAAGCACACTTCAGTTTGCAAAAACACCCAACGAAAACATTGATTAGTTGTTAAGCTAACATGCTAAACACTGTTGTTTCATTGGTTTTCTAGGATGACAATGCGTCTGAGAGCAGTTCGGATGCTGGTCTAGGTAGTGACCAAGAGAGCGAAGCCACCACAGCGATTGGTAAAACACCACAAGACCTCAAACTTTAAAATGATGAATAACTTTTCAGTTCATCATATTATAACTGAATCTTATAATGTGTCTGAATCACTAAAGTTTTCACTTTGTTCAATATGTTCTGTAGGAACTACATGGCCAGATTCTCCTGTTGTTCCTGTTGATGTGGCCCTCATCTCCAGTCTAATCTTGAAGCACGTTCCTGCGGCCCGCATGGTGGAAGACCTTGGTCATGAGATCACATATGTGTTGCCATACGAGTCTGCCAAAGATGGTGCATTCGTTGAGCTCTTCCATGACATGGATGATCGCCTCGCTGACCTTTGCATTTCAAGCTATGGTGTCTCAGATACTACACTTGAAGAGGTACGTGTAGCTTGTCTTGGTTTTTATCTGTCAAGAAAAGCTTTAGGATGCTAGCTGTGATTTTTGACAACATGTGCAAGTTACTAATGATATTTCTTGTTTGTCTTTATAGATTTTCCTTAAAGTGGCAGAGGACAGTGGAGTTGACACAGAAATCATCTCAGGTAAATTTGTACCTCACTATTAGCTGTCTAGTAAATGGAATAAGCAGTTAAAAGACAAAAAATCCTGTAAAGATCTCATCTTGTATTATTAATTTTGTTAGATGGAACTCTGCCAGTGCGCAGACATAGACAACACTCATTTGGTGCTGACCACCAGAGCTGCCTCAAACCTCTGACTGAAGATGATAACTTTGACTGCAACAACTCTGATGGTGATCCAGGTAGACCTTAAAGCCCTAAAACATCTATACTGTATCATTACAGTAGAGTCAGCCAAATATCTTCGTTTTTTGGGTTTAAATGTGTCATTGATATATTTGATCGGCAGAATCAAAAGAGACAGACTATTTGAGCGTTTCCAATGGGAAAGGATCATTTCAGGTGAAAGGCTGGAGTTTGAAGAGGCAACAGTTTGTGGCTTTGATGTGGAAGAGATTGCTTTATGCTCGCCGCTCAAGGAAAGGCTTCTTCGCACAGGTAGGAATGAGAAATATAGTCAATAAAAAAAAACTAAATCTAGGCTGGGTTTACCAAAATCATAAGTAGATCAAGTAGATCATAGAAACTGTTAGTGCCAATTGTTTCTACGATTCCCAAAAACAACGTAAGCCTAAGTAGATTGGATGCACTATTGGTGCCAATGATTTCTATGATTCCCCAAAACATTGTAAACCTAAGTAGATTGTAAAGACTACTGATGCCAGTGGTTTCTAAAATCTAGTTAGGCTCATGCTACTTTTGGGAAACGCAGCCCATGTCAGTACAGTTCAGTTTTGATCAACTCACTTTGATTCTCTTTGCAGATTGTTCTTCCCGCTGTGTTTGTATGCATCGCTCTGGTGTTCAGTCTTATTGTGCCACCATTCGGAAAATATCCCAGCCTGGCTCTTAATCCCTGGATGTATGAAGAACAGTTTACTTTCATCAGGTATGATAAGGACAACATGCGCTACTCAACACAAATTTAAAAAGCTTGCATGAAACCATTTAGATTAAATATGGTCTTTCTTTGTCACAGTGATGATGCTCCACATGATATAAGCACACAAAAATTACTCAACGCTTTGTTAGATGATCCTAGCTTTGGAACGCGATGCATGGATGGAGAACCAATTCCGTAAGTAACTTACAGTATATGACACATTTTTTTGTAACTGCCATTATTTTTAATTCAGGAAAAAACTAAGCTCGTCTTCTCCCATGGTTTCAGTGATGCTCCCTGTACAATGGGCGATGAGGAATGGTCTACTCCAGAAGTGTCAGAAAGTGTGATGGACATTTTCACATCAACAAACTGGACCATGGACAACCCATCACCTGCTTGCGAGTGCAGCTGTAATGGTAAAAAGAAGATGCTCCCAGAATGCCCTGCTGGTGCAGGTGGACTGCCACCTCCTCAGATTAAGATCAGTGAGACTGAGACCCTCCAGAACCTGACGGGACGAAACATCTCAGACTATCTAGTGAAGACATACGCACAGATCATTGGGAAAAGGTTTGGCCTGATTGTCTATCCAAATGAACTGAAATAGTTCAGCAGCATCATTCAACACATTAACAGATTGTTTCTTTCATAGCTTAAAGAACAAGATATGGGTGAACGAATTCAGATATGGAGGATTTTCATTGGGTGCTAGAAGCACTCAGGTACTTCCTCCTGCTGAGGAGATAGATGATGCCATCTCTAGAGTCAGGGAAATCTTCCAACTGGGGAAGGTAAGCCAAAACATTGAGTCTTAGGAAATTAATCAAATAGCTCTCAGGAATAGTGCATGAAGTGTTTCTTATCCTACTCTTTTAGGACTCAGGATCAGCGGCCGACCGTTTCTTGAAAAGCCTGTCTGCCTTCATCAATGGGCTGGACACTAAGAATAATGTCAAGGTGAGTGACAATTGGATGACTGCCATTTCTATTTTATATTTTAAATAAGTCTACTTGGAATGATCTTTATTGGCAATTTGTTTTCAGATATGGTTCAATAACAAGGGCTGGCACGGTATTGGAGCTTTCCTCAATGTAATGAACAATGGTATCTTGCGTGCCAGCTTACCGCCTGGCAAAGACGCTCGTCAATTTGGCATCACTACGTTCAACCATCCGCTCAATCTGACAAAGGAACAGCTTTCTCAAGTGGCCCTGTAAGCATTGAAACATTGATTAAATTAAATTTAAATAACGTTAAGTGCATTGGTCATGTTTTTCTTATCTCTGAACCCTGATTTTGGCATTTCAGAATGACTACCTCAGTGGATGTGCTGGTTTCCATCTGTGTGATCTTCGCCATGTCCTTTGTCCCTGCCAGCTTCGTTGTCTTCCTCATTCAGGAGCGAGTGAATAAGGCCAAGCACATGCAGTTTATCAGTGGAGTTCAGCCATTCCTCTACTGGCTGGCCAACTTTCTCTGGGATATGGTGAGTGTCTGGTTTTGCTTTCAAATCTCATAATGCACCACTCACCTACTTGGCTGCTGACCCAAAATTTCTAATACACATTTCTGTCTATTTTCTGGTACAGTGCAATTATGTCGTCCCTGCTACTCTGGTGATCGTGATCTTTGTGTGCTTTCAACAAAAAGCCTACGTCTCTGCCACCAACCTTCCTGTTCTTGCCCTTCTACTGCTTCTTTATGGGTAAAAAAAATACAGATCAAGACATTCACTTATATCAAAAATACCAGCTCAATATGGTGATAATGTATGTAGGTACTGACAATATACTCCATAAATAGAAACAGAAAAAACAGGTTATGAACTATATTTATAAAAGAAATAATAAAACGGGGGGAAAACACATATTATAAAGTATGTTTGGGGACATTTGTTAAAGAAAATTTCAAATAGAAATATAATAAATATAGGAGAAAAACAGATTATAAAGCATATTTGGGGACATATTTTGAAGAGAATGTGAAATAGAAATAGAAATGGGGGGGGTGATTATAAAGTATGTTTAGGGGCATTTGAAGAAAATGTGAAAGAATAAAAATAGAAAAAAACTGATTACAAACAAAATTTTAAATAGAATAAAAATAGAAACATCATAACATATATAACATATAAATATATAACAGATACAAAAATAGAAAGTACTTTTAAGTACATTTTCTGATGAAGATGTGAAATAGAATAAACATAAGAAAAAAATGAATTATAAAGTACATACAGATACATTTTCTGAAGATAATGGGAAAGAAATTAAATAGAAAAAAAAACATCAAATAAATATAGGAACATACTATATATATATGTTTAGAAATATTTTCTAAAAATGATGTGAGTGGTGCTTGTCTTTGCAAAATATGTTTCTTAGATAGTCTGATCCCTAGACATGGCTGGGGGTCCCACATGGGGCCTCTTTATATTTCCTTTAGTGAAAGAGCACACCCACTTCTACTGTATGTATAAATTCCGCAGATATGGAAAGACCCCTTTGGGGCCCTGTATGGGATTATACATTATACTTTACAAAGCACACAATCTGGGAATCTTCCCTAGCGAAAAGAGCTCTCCCTCATGTCTCTATGATATTGTGATACATAGATATGCTTGGGGCCTGACATGGGGCCTCAATTCACTGCCAATTTGCACATAACCTTTTCCCTGGTAATAAATACTTATTCTTGTCTCTCTTCAGATGGTCCATCACTCCTCTTATGTACCCGGCTTCATTCCTCTTCAAAATCCCCAGCACCGCTTATGTGGTTCTCACTAGCGTCAACATCCTCATTGGGATCAATGGCAGCGTGTCCACTTTTGTCATGGAGTTATTTGGAAATAATGTAAGAAATTACTTTTTTGGTTTCATCCTAATGCCATCTTGCTATTTGCTATTCTTAGCAGTAATTTTCAAGCACATATAATGATTTCTAATGTCTTCATTCCCTTCTGCAGGAGATTGGTGGCATTAATGACATCCTGAAGAACGTTTTGCTCATCTTTCCACATTTTTGCCTGGGTCGAGGTCTCATCGACATGGTGAAGAATCAGGCCATGGCTGACGCTCTGGAGAGATTTGGTAAGATTAGCTAGCTCCACTTTAAATTTTCATTTTTTGACAGATTACCAATATAAGAGCAATGAATTCCAGAGTTTGACCTCATAAGCTTGATCTGTGTCTACTGTATTAACTGTAACTACTGCAAGGGTAAATATTACCTATGCTGAATGCTCTCTTACCTTGCATTAGGTGAGAACCGTTTCCGTTCTCCATTGGAGTGGGACATGGTGGGCAAGAATCTTTTTGCTATGGCTGTGGAAGGAGTGGTTTTCTTCATCATCACAGTCCTTATCCAGTACCGTTTCTTCTTTGAACCCAAGTAAGCAACATCACAAGATGATATTCTAAAACAAATTACATTTATATGAATTGCAAATGAAATTATGGATTAGAAGATTTAGAAGATCTAATATGGTTTGATCATTTCCTGCAGGTCTTTAAGTGCCAAGTTGAGTCCGATTGGAGAGGAGGATGAGGATGTGGCCAGAGAGAGGCAGAAAATCATGAGTGGAGCTGGACAGGGAGACATTCTTGAACTCCGACAACTCACTAAGGTCAGCAGAAATCCTCGGCTGATGAACACCGATATCAACATTAGTATTTCAAATTTAGTCAAATAAATGTTGCCCTCACCAATCTGTCATCCTTTTCAATTACAGGTGTACAAGCGGAAACAGAAGCCCGCTGTTGATCGTCTATGTGTTGGCATTCCTCCAGGAGAGGTAATTCATGACAGCTGCCTCATGATCAGCCTCATTTGAATGAATCACTCTTCTCGTCTACTGTAAGACCACAAACTGACGTGTTTCCTTCTTCTTGCAGTGCTTCGGTCTGCTTGGTGTCAACGGAGCCGGAAAGACCAGTACTTTTAAAATGCTGACCGGAGACTGTGTGGTCACCAAAGGAGAAGCATTCTTGGCTGGGAAAAGGTACAGACAGTAAAATACAATTAGTTATTATAAGTAGCATATATGATGCTACTTCCTTACTACAGCATGCGTGTGTATATATATACAGTGGGTACGGAAAGTATTCAGACCCCCTTAAATTTTTCACTCTTTGTTATATTGCAGCCATTTGCTCAAATCATTTAAGTTAATTTTTTTCCTCATTAATGTACACACAGCGCCCCATATTGACAGAAAAACACAGAATTGTTGACATTTTTGCAGATTTATTAAAAAAGAAAAACTGAAATATCACATGGTCCTAAGTATTCAGACCCTTTGCTCAGTATTTAGTAGAAGCACCCTTTTGATCGAATACAGCCATGAGTCTTTTTGGGAAAGAGGCAACAAGTTTTTCACACCTGGATTTGGGAATCCTCTGCCATTCCTCCTTGCAGAGCCTCTCCAGTTCTGTCAGGTTGGATAGTAAACGTTGGTGGACAGCCATTTTTAGGTCTCTCCAGAGATGCTCAATTGAGTTTAAGTCAGGGCTCTGGCTGGGCCATTCAAGAACAGTCACAGAGTTGTTGTGAAGCCACTCCTTCGTTATTTTAGCTGTGTGCTTAAGGTCATTGTCTTGTTGGAAGGTAAACCTTCAGCCCAGTCTGAGGTCCTGAGCACTCTGGAGAAAGTTTTCGTCCAGGATAACCCTGTACTTGGCCGCATTCATCTTTCACGACTTCCTTTTACACTGAAATGCCTTCCGTTTGCACTGAAAAGTTCACACACATACACATATGAAATCACTTGCATAGGCCTATATATGTATGTACACAACTAAAGTATACGTCTTTCTTATCTGAACTGTATACGTTAGTGAATTTTATTTTGTATGTATGCGCGAGTGTTTTATGGATGTGTATGCGCGCATCGAGTTTATATGTATGTGCCAGTGTTTATAGGTGTATATGCATGGATCAAGTTTGTATGTATAGGTGAGTCTGCATGCAGCGAGTTTATATGTATGTGCGTGTGGTGTTGTAGGTGTATATGCACGGATCGAGTTTATATATATATAAGCGAGTGTCTATAGGTGTATGCATGCGTCAACTTTGTATGTATACGCAAGATATAAGATGCTGATTTCATTTTCCAGCAGGATTTGGCACCTGCCCACACTGCCAAAAGGTATATAGGTACATATATGGCAATGACCATGGTGTTGGTGTGCTTGACTGGCCAGCAAACTCACCAGACCTGAATCCCATAGATAATCAATGGGGTATTGTCAAGAGGAAAATGAGAAACAAGAGACCAAAAAATGCAGATGAGCTGAAGGCCACTGTCAAAGAAACCTGGGCTTCCATACCACCTCAGCAGTGCCACAAACTGATCACCTCCATGCCACGCCGAATTGAGGCAGTAATTAAAGCAAAAGGAGCCCCTACCAAGAATTGAGTACATGTAAAGTAAATGAACATATTTTCCAGGAGGCCAACAATTCACTAAAAAAAAAATTTCTTATGAAGTATTCTAATTTGTTGAGATAGTGAATTGGTGGGTTTTGGTTAAATGTGAGCCAAAATCATAAGTCATAGGTTCATCTTAAAATTATGTGGATGCATTTTTTGATGACGCTGCTCCTTCTTATTTCCAGTATACTCAGAGAAATAGATGAAGTACATCAGAACATGGGCTACTGCCCTCAGTTTGATGCCATCAACGATCTGCTGACAGGACGGGAACACCTGGAGTTCTACGCCATCCTGCGTGGTGTACCTGAAAAGGAAGTTTGTGAGGTGAGCAGAGCATATAAACTAACACCAGTACTTAAATAATGATTTACTCTTTTTTTATTTATCTTTAAAAAAGCATCATATGACCCCTTTAAAAGACGATATCTCCGTTTGCATAGAACTCCATTTGAAGCGCCGTAACTTTGCAGATATTGTTTATGCTCAAACAGCAACATTACACACTAACTAACGATTAAAAAAGTGAAATCGCAATCAACCACCCCTTTAAGAAAACAATGACATTTTAAAAATAATGGTAATGACAATTTGAGGGATAAAGTAAAACAGACATTTTTGTTTTTTATAATAGAAAATACTAAATTCTATATTATATTTAGTATAGAATAGAATTTTTCTTTTGATTTTGAGGTAAATGTGACTTGGAAATGTTTTGTGAGATTAACCCTAATAGGAAGTGTTGTTAGTTTTACTGATGTGTTGTACCTTGGGCAGGTGGCAGAGTGGGGAATCCGTAAACTGGGCCTCATAAAGTACGTGGACAAGAAAGCAGGAAGCTACAGCGGTGGCAACATGCGCAAACTCTCCACTGCCATTTCACTCATTGGAGCCCCACCAGTGGTCTTCCTGGTATGTGCAACGCACACATGTACACACAAAGACACTTACACAACTGGCTCAAAGTCTTATGCTTCCTAGGGTGAATGTCTGCAAACTAATCAACAAAAACAACATAAGTCTGGATCATATGACCACTGTTTGATTATTCTCTCAGCTGGGTTTCCCGCTCTCGTTGTATAAACCCCTAGAGCTAAATTACCCTGAACTCTTTAGCCTTCGCCTTCAGAGGCCTCATAGTGGGTTAATCACACAAAGATCACATAAGAATGCTCAAGAGTTAGCAAGCCTGTTTCGGTTCACTTCAGTGTGCGATACACGTGTGAGGAAGAGATGTTGTTCTTCCCGCCGATGTTGCTCTTCAATGTGTGTTTCCTATGGCTGAAACTGAGTTTTGCTGTGCTTTTGGTTACAGGACGAGCCCACCACTGGAATGGACCCCAAAGCACGACGAGCACTGTGGAACTGCATCCACAGTGTCATCAAAGAGGGACGCTCTGTCCTACTTACCTCACACAGGTACATTGACCAGACTTTTCCTAATACAATTACAGTTTATGCACTTAAACACTAACAGTCAGCTAATGTTATAGATAAGCTAATTAAGTGAGCTATTGCTAAACAGCAGCGCTGGCAGCATTGATGATAGTATTGTTTTCCTCAAAAATTTTCACGTCTTAGTTTTTTATCTTAGATTTTTGCAGAGTTTAGACCTCTACCATCTATCACTAGGGGGCAGTATTTCATCTGTTTTCTTCCATACTAACCTGCGTTCTGTTCACTCTTAGCATGGAAGAATGTGAAGCACTGTGCACCAGGATGGCCATCATGGTGAACGGCAGGTTCCGCTGTCTGGGTAGCGTCCAACACCTGAAGAACAGGTACGATCATGAATGATAGAGTGTAGCAACCGAGTTTCGGAAGTAAGAATCCCTTTCATTTTCTCCATTCGGGAATTGGATAGACAGACCTACCGTGAGATATGAGGTTGTTAATTGATCATCTCTGCTTTGTTGAAGCTGTCAGTTCACATTATTCCAACTTATTTGAGATGGTCCTCACTGCAGAACACAAGATCCAGGGGGCGTGGGTGGATCCAGATCCAACTCCTCCCACCTTACATATACCTAAACCTACCAATCTCAACCCCCTAAATGTGGATCCAACCACGCCCCCTGGATCTTGTGTTCTGCAGTGAGGGGCTACTGACTTATTTTTAAATAAGCATGTGTTAGTGACATTCTTAGTGAAAAACTACATTACTCATGTGTGGTGCACAGGTGATGCTCATTATCACTCACGTCACCAGCCTCGCTCCATTCCCACGGCTCTAGGCCCCACCCCACTCATCACATCATGATTCTGCAGAGAAATCTCTTCCAATCAGAGAACCGAAACAAGCAAACTTCCCCAAAAGAAAAACTACTTAAATATTTACAATAATAATCATAGTTAAATATTTGTATATATGTGCATATTTTGCAATAAACATAAAATGTTATTCCTATATACACTAGCAACACCGGCAACAAATTAATAGTTATTTTTCTGTCATAATAATCCATTTTGTCATTCCCAATGCTTCATGGGATTGTAGTTCTTTCCCTCATTAAGTACACAGCCTTTTTGTCCAATTTTCATATATTTTTTTTGGCTCCAAATCAGTTTGTGATGTTGTGATTCACCTCGTAGCTAGTTGGTCTGGTTCATGGCTTATTTAAGCTATTTAAAAGTACAATGTGTTTTGAATCGAATTGCAAAAACAATGACTCAAATCAAGAACATGAAGCATAAAGCATATATTACTTTTTAGACATGTTTTGATACATATACAGTGTGTATATATATATGTATGTGTATATATATATATATATATGACATCACTTGCTGCTCTTCTTGCAGATTTGGAGATGGGTACACCATCATTCTGAGGGTTGCAGGGCCAGATCCTGACCTGCAGCCGGTGATGAAGTTCATTGAGAGCGAGCTGCCGGGAAGCACCCTGAAAGAAAAGCACAGAAACATGCTGCAATACCAGCTCCCCTCCTCCCTCACCTCCCTCGCTCACATCTTCAGCATCCTCGCTAAGAACAAAGAGTTTCTCCGGATAGAGGACTACTCTGTGTCCCAGACCACTTTGGACCAGGTGAGGGGGCATTTCCAACCCTAAAATATCTCAGACACATTTCAGAGTAGGGTTTCTCATGTGTGTTGCACAGTGACCCCTACTGGGGACAAGAGGAAGTTGAAAAGCAGTCAACTGTTAAAAGGGGTAGTCATCATTTACTCTCTCTATCTCGTGTCATTCCAGACCTGTAGGACTTTATTTCTTCTGTTGAACACAAAAGAATACATTTTGAAGAATGTTAGTAACCAAACAGTTTTGGGTCCCATTGACTTCCATAGTACTTTTGTCCATACTGTTTGGTTACCAACATTCTTCAAAATATCTAATTTTGTGTCTCACAGAAGAAAGAATGTCATGCAGGTTTAGAGGGAGTAAATTATGACATAATTTTTTTTTCTGGGTGGACTATCCTTTTGGGTCACGGCCTGTTAATATTCATTAAAGGCAACAAAAAAATCGTATCACAACAAGGTATTTTAATTTTTTTGTGTGTGTTTCTTGCTGTGATTACTGAATACTCATCTTCCCAATCAACAGGTATTTGTTAACTTTGCCAAGGACCAAAGTGACGACCACTCAGAGAGCTCCATTCGTCGTAAAGAGACAGCGATCAACATGAGCCCTCTGTCTATTAAAGAGAACACGGAGAAGCCAATAGAAAGCTTTGTGTGAGCCGGAGTCTCTCTTTACACTACATGCTAACAGGAGCCAGTGGATTCCACTTATTTCACAATGTTTTTGTGGCCTTTGAGCTGCAGTCTGCTGTTCTGACCTCAGTCTGAAGATAAATGTCTTCACCGGTCAGCTGAGAGGCTGATACTGCAGCCGAGATACTTAATGCAAGTCAATGCAAAAGAAATTGAAAAGACTTCTCTCGTGTTTCTAGCATGGCTGAATCTGAACCATGTTAGTCAGTGTTAAAAACTTGAAGCCATAATTTCTGGTGTATACTGACTGTATTTTGCGCAGTCGTCAATAGAGATCGATTTTCATCATGCAAGCTAATCGGCCCGATGGAAAAATGCCAATGATCAATAATTCAGGGTCAGTGTCTTTGTATTTTATTTTCTTAAGACTAGAAGACTGGGAATCACATGCTGAAGAATCATAATTGTTTGCGTGGCTAAGGGCTGAACTGCAAAACTGAAAATTGTACTATGTTAAAATGATTTTGTTTTTAATATGTCATTATTTATAAACAAGCAATTGTTTTAGATGTTTTAAAAAGTCAGAAGGGGCATTATTTTATAGGCTGTTCTATCCAAGAGTGACTCATGTTATCTTTATATGTGCCTTTGTGCATGGGCAAAACAAAAAAGTGATTGATTTTGTAGGTTTTAAAAAAAAAATAAATAAAGTTTATACAAGCAAGCTTTACAGTTACAATATGTAACAAATACCTCGACTGACACAGTAATTCTAGGGGATGCTCCTGGATTCGCATGAACAACTTCGAAGGAAATCAATTCAAACATACCAATTATGTGCCTTCTTTAGTATAAGGGCATCTGGTGTGCCCTTCCATTGGATCTCTGGACCATTAAATACAGAAATCCACAAACACAACACTGATTCCAGCTGTATTACATAGCCGTTCGTTACAGTAAGTGTGCTCTGTCCATACATTGAGTTTGGATTGTTAAATCAGTATTTTGGATCTCATTGGGACTGGCAACAGCGTTGTCCGCCTTTCATCCAAGCACTTTACTTGCTGTGACATTATTTTATAGGCTGTTCTATCCAAGAGTGACTCATGTTATCTTTATATGTGCCTTTGTGCATGGGCAAAACAAAAAAGTGATTGATTTTGTAGGTTTTTAAAAAAAATAAAATAAAGTTTATACAAGCAAGCTTTACAGTTACAATATGTAACAAATACCTCGACTGACACAGTAATTCTAGGGGATGCTCCTGGATTCGCATGAACAACTTCGAAGGAAATCAATTCAAACATACCAATTATGTGCCTTCTTTAGTATAAGGGCATCTGGTGTGCCCTTCCATTGGATCTCTGGACCATTAAATACAGAAATCCACAAACACAACACTGATTCCAGCTGTATTACATAGCCGTTCGTTACAGTAAGTGTGCTCTGTCCATACATTGAGTTTGGATTGTTAAATCAGTATTTTGGATCTCATTGGGACTGGCAACAGCGTTGTCCGCCTTTCATCCAAGCACTTTACTTGCTGTGTTCATTTAAATTTAATTTAATGTCAAAATGTGTTCATCTCTTTGCACTGGATTCTCCACAGGCAATGGTTTTGCTGTTTTTCATTTATTGTTTAGTTTTGGTTTGGGTTCAACCTAAACGAAAGAACCAAAAAAAAAAAAAAAACTTAAAATGACAAAGTTTTTGTACCAGAGTGATGTTCCTCATTTAATACCGGTTTACATTTCAAATGTATGGCTATGGATTGTCTGTTACTTGCTTTGTACACTTACTCTATTTACACAATAAATCATGACAATTCTACAACCCTAATACTGTTTGATCTGTGACATCACATTGGGAAATTCAACAAATGAATTCTTTTCAGTGTCAATCTGCTTAAAATTTAACCAAAAGAAGCTAGATTACATCACTACATCTAGATTACATAACACTGCTGAACTTATAATTGATTTTATTATGTAAGCATTTATTGTAGAAACATAATAACATGTTGTGAATCACTGACGTAGTTTGCAGTACTTTGAGGATGGAAGTCTTAATGTGAAGTAAAGCATTATTTTGATTCACAATCATTATTTGACCATTAGCAAAAACTTCTCAAGGAACTTGCAAGAATTACATTTGTTTATCAGTTCACTTATCTCATGCATTGCATCAATCAAATTTCACTTCACATTTTCCTGAGTTTGGAGTCAAACTATGAAGCCATGTTATTTGATTGGTGAGAAAGCACAGGGGAACATGCGTTTGTTCTTCTGTGACACCAGGTACGCTGCACTCTCCTTTATTGGAGAAAAAACACAAACAGTAACAGTAAAAAAATAAAAGCAAACTGTAAAATATAAAAAAATATATTTTTCTGAGACAAAAATTATTATAATGGTATGATAATGCCCGGTGTAATGAGCTATATTTAAGATTTACCTGCCGCCACCACTCTGGCATTATCATGTGATTTATGTCGTATTGCTGCCCGCTGGTCTGCGCTCTCATAACAACATAAAACATGCACTGTGCATGGAAAGAAATATCAGAATATATATATATAAAAACTCACAAAGGCTGTATTTGTTTGATCAAAAATACAGTAATATTGTGAAACATCACTACTATTAAAATTGTAATTTATTCCTGTGATGTTAAAGTTGAATTATGATTCACTATGAACTATGATACAGCATTTATTTCAGGATTCTTTGATGACTAGAAAGTTAAAAAGAGCAGCATTTATTTGAAATATAATTTTTTTAACATTAAGAATGTCTGTACTGTCATCGTCTTCATGAGTCCTTGCTGAATAAAAGTATTAATACTTTTTTTTTTTAAATACTGACCACAAACTTTTGAACACTACTGTATATTAAAATTACAGGATGTAACTATTGTTTTAAAACATATCTGCTTTCTTGTCTACACTCACCTTGATTAAGCTGTCCGAATTCAGAGTGAAAAACCCCAATTGCGTGGGCGTATCCTGATCCTGTGTGGGTGCCCACTGCTGCCTGAAACGCCCTGCCCCACACCGCCGGACCACCAGGCTTCATCTGGAAGGTTGCCAGCTCCAAAATTCCTACAGAAAAAAAAAATTTCACCTAAAGCATTTGAAATATGTGTGTCTTTGTTTTGTGAACTATTTATGAATGTTTATGCATGTCTGGTACTGGCAGAAGGGGGAAAACAGTCCTTAGGGTCAGACAATAAGTTGTAAAAAAAATATATATTTTTTTCTTTGCTTATGTCTTATCGCTTACAGCACCATGTGAGCATGCATTGGTATAGCATACATTCTCACCTCCATCTTTGGGTGGCTTCTGAATTTTGCTCCAGGGTACGTCACCTCATTATCCTGAGAGATCAGCATGAGCATCGCTTTAGAGATGTATTGCTCGATCCATTTGGGGTCTTGAGCCAGGGCTGCCCGCACAGATGCCCTGTCTATTACAGCAAAGACAGAAAGGAATGTTTCTTATGGAGTAGTATGTGAGCTGCATTGTGTTTTTAGACATTTTAAATAAAATAAATACATATTATCTTAGTAAGATTACTTGTTTATTGTATAAACGCTAAGAGAGGATTTTATTTTTACTGAAAATGCTAGTTAATGTTATCACAAAACTTACTGACTCTACTCACATAGGGAATAACAAACATCCCCCCCCCCCCCCCCCCCCCTAAACAAACAAATTCATTTTAT